TAAAAAAACTAATGATTATAGGAATGTTAAGAGACAAAGAAATGATAAACACTTAGAGGCCGATTACAAAAGGTAGACTCAATGGCTCTTGATGACATCAATGAGCAGTCCCAAAACATGCTGTTGTATAAAAAGAAATAGGTCCTGATTTCTTCTATTTAGTGTTGGATGATTTGTTGTATTGATTGCTGATGGATGTTCAGATATGTTTTACAATTATAACAAAAAGATTATTGTAATTGGAATCAAAAAGTTTACAAATCGTAGTTTTAATAAAATGACTAGCAATATAGGGTTTATTCAACAGCGGTAAAGCATTAAGTTGCTAAATTAACGTACACTGAACTGTAAAACTTACCACTATTTAGGAAATGACCTGATCAGAAGGATTGACTAGCAAGACAGCAAAGATGTGGAGGAGGTCTCTCTCATGTACAACCATTGGTAGATGTTACACCTGAAAGAAAGATAAGGAAATAAGAGCACACAGGAGGAGAAACACCTTCTTAAGTAAAAGACCAAATCATGTCAAGCTTTACATCTTTCAGTCTTTACAATGCACTGTTGGAAATGACATTCCAAATGCTAAATTCAAACTCAATACCATAAATAACTGGGTACCAAAGTGTTTTACCTGATAGAACACGTTCCGCACGGAGCAGTAACCATCCGGCTGGGCCTTTTGCTGCATATCATCTCCTCCCTCTCCACTGTTTCCAGTAGATCTCTACTGCCTCTGTCCAATGTAAACAGAAATGCCCCAAAACAATCATATTTAAAAAGTTAAAAACAATAACTTGCTTTTGGAATTCAAATGTATTAGAATCTCACCTTTTTCCTGGATGTCAGGAAGGCGTTCCCTTCAAGTCCGCAACCAGTCATAGCATAGGACAGGGGTCGGCAACCTTTTTGATATGAAGTGCCATTTAAAAAAAAAAATGTTATCAGCGTGCCAACGATTGATAATTATTATCAACGGGGGGGGGTTGAGGAGCTTGACGCTCGTCAACTATCAGCAGGACGGCGGGGGAGCCTCGCTGCGGGGAAGCAGTGTGCGCAACTTACAAGATGCCGAATTTAACAATCACCTTTAAATAATTGGTTTAAACGGCATAATGATTAGGACGATCGTCATGCAGAGTGAGATGAGATCGCTGTCCCTTTAGGAGAGAGAGAGAGGGGTGTGGCTTGTGCATGTGTGCTTGTGAATGGTAGAGCGACAGTGAGGGAACGTGTGTATGTTTCTGGAAGAAAAACATGTATTTTGTGAAACAGAAGAACAGCTAAATAAATGCAACGTCCTCCCGAGAAGAGCTCGCCTCTCTCCAGTCATTTAAGCTAAAGTGGGTTATTGAACCTGAAGCTTGTTGCTTCTGCCCTCCTCGACTACGGTCTGGGAGCCGACAGGAAAGTTCAACACACAGATGGCCAGTCCGCCCCTTTGTAGCATATTATTTCGATGAGAGATGAGCAGATCGCCACTGGGCTTTCAACTAAATAAACACAGCCACGCAAAAACTGCGGCATTTGTACAGCTCCTTATGGGTACTGCAATTAGTGAAGTGCTTTCCTCCTTGGTGAAACGATCAGCACTGCACCACGGAGGAAAGCGGCAGAAAGTCACCTGGAGTTCAAGAGAGCGGGCTGCGTTGCGTGCATGGCTTCCTTCTGCAGGTAACGGGGAGACGCGCTCTGGCGGCGGTCTCGTTCAGGATCCGAAAATACAATTAAAATATTTTGCACACTTATTCCACTTATTCCTAGTGTGCCACTGGTTACGGTGCCGCGTGCCAGGGGTTGCCGACCCCTGCTGTAGAGGAAGGGTTATTTATTGCTCCAGGGTCTGGGCATTTTCTAAAATCCCTGTAACCTGATGGATTTGGGTCATGCATGCACACAGAGGACTTCTCACCACACAGGCACCTGGCTGACATTTACAAAAGACTGTTAATGAGATGCTTTTATCTCAGGGTCTCACTGAACACTAAACATTTACATTTCTATAAATATAACAGAAATATGAACAATATTGTCAGAATTGCTAATTGGATTATGGATTACAGAAAGGTCCTCTTTTACTTGAGTACTGCACCGCAGTTTTGAGGTACTTGTACTTTACTTGAGTATTTACCTTTTTCTGCTACTTTATGTTTTCACTATAATAATAATAATAATAATAATAGATTTATTTTGTTAGTGCTTTTACAGGTACATTTACAATTTTACAATACATTTTTTTGCAACTCACTAGATTTCCTTGACAACTTTAATTACTTTAAAGATTCAGATGAGTATTAGAAAAATAATCAAATAATTTATCATGTTTAGATAATAATAATAATTGAAATGAACAAGCTACACATCCGTATATATATAGTTTAAAAAAACAGCTGCACATTAAAGTGAGGAACACATTGATGAATCAATCATTGAAATACAGAAATACAATATATTCATTTCATCTGGCCATTATGTCTCTGCGCTTCAACTATATTTGATTGCTAAAGCATCTTTTGTTGGAGGCTACTTTTACAATTTAAATTCTGGACTTTTACTTGATGCAGAGTATTTCTAAACAGTAGTATTACTACTTCCACTCAAGTAAAAGATATAGGTACTTTTCTACCACTGATATCACATCCTGGACTCTTGTGATGTAACACACACAAACGTCGGTGTGACCAAATGAGCACATGTTGTGAGGGGGAATTACCGTGCACGCGCACGCACACACACACACACACGCACGCACGCACGCACACACACACACGCACACACACACCCTTCTCATTACTAATGTGATTTACTGCAATTCCTAACTGAATCTATGAGGCACTAGACCTCTAGTGAGTGGCCAAGCCCTTCGTATGTTTTTCTGTATGTGGCCCTCAGAGAGAACAGTTTGGACACCCCTGTCTCACCCTATACAGTACATGTATAAACATAATCCAAATATTAACCAGAACAATTTGCACAACAGCTATTTTGCACAATTATAATGTATATTCAATCCAATGCCATATGGCCTAGTGAGACTGTATAGCCTGCTCATTTATTCAATATTTTCAGTATATTATTGAAATACTCTTGGGATACAGTATATGTCCTTTCTATTGTGAATTTGTATATACTTGCTGCTAATGTTCATTTGTATTATATTTGTGTGTTATTGTATCTTTTAAACATGTGTAACTCCTGTAATGCTTGACACTGCTGCTGGAACAAAATCATTTCCCAATTTTGGGATAAATAAAGTATGTCTATCAATCTATCTATTAAAACGTTCTGCTTTTTACTGGCGATCAGAAGGAAATAATTCAACGAGCTGCCCTTTTGCCATCACAAAATACAATTCTGATGTATTACAATCCGCAGGGAGTGAAATTCAAATTGCACAATTCAGTGAAATAACATGGCCATAAACAACACAGATGGGAGAAAGACATTGAAATACCTTGAACATGTGCCATGACCTAAATTTGTTTTTTTGTTTATACTGTAACGAACAAGGAAGTTATGTTAGATCATGTTAAACATACTGTATCAGGAGGGAGTTTGATGCATCTGTTTTAACGACTATCATCATTTGTTCTTATGGAACGTGTCTCTGAACCGACAGCTACTGTAGCTAGGTCAGACGCTGAAGAACAACAAGGTGTTAAACACAAAGGATCTGCGTCTTCCTGCATCAGAGCTGATTTCAGAAGGTGTCGTACTGCAGGATGTGTAGGACTGGAACATATAGATTTGTCACGCGGCGACACTGTAAACACGTTTCCACGAGAAGTATATTCTCACAGCGTTTCTGCTCAGTGGAAACACGCCTCGTCCATTTCAGCTGAGTTGTAGTAAACTAGCTCTGATAATTATAGAAGACTAAAGCTCCCATACAATAAATACATTCCTAAGTAAATATATAGTTGAAATATAAAAAAACATCTAGAAATAAAAGCCTCTATTACCAATAGAGTTATAATGATAATAAATACATAAAATACATTTAATATCTGTGACAATTTTTGTATTTATTTATCTTTATATTGAATAATTTCCCAATGTATTGTTTCCTGTTTACATTATTATTACTTTTCTTTCCAAAATGTTTTTATTTATTTGATTTATTATAATTACACATATATAACACATTTGATGTACTGATAATTTAGTTAATTTGTATTGTATAAAGCACATTCATTTGAGAATTGGAATTTCAGTTGTACATTATTTTCATTTCTTTATTGAGTCATTTATGTTCTAATAAACATGTAAATGCCATATCTGGTTAATCCTACCCAAACGGTGGCTTCTGTTAAATACAAAATGATTTTTGGCTGAATCAAAACACTTAGGCCCCATGTACGTTACAAGGTAATATTAATAAACCATGTGACAAAATAAAGGGCTCATAAAACTATCATTCATTTGAAAAAGAAAGAACTACATTTCCTCTTCAATGTGAACATTTTTTCAATAAACCAAAAACGTCCTTCCTCATAAAATAAATGTACAGATTTGTTGTCATTCTCTCCGTCACTGGCAGAAGAGAGCGTTTCTACCCTGAGAGTTGAGACAGCTAATAATCAAATGAGAAATAAACCACAAGTCGGCCTGTATGCCTCCATGTGGCTTTTAACTCGGTGCAGAACTGAGTGCATGTCTAGATGAATGCAACCTGATTTATTTGTGCAGCTTGACACTTTTTCTGCTCTGTAAAATTAGATTCTACCACACTGAAATGAAGTATTTTCTCTGTGGGATTTGAAACCTCTTTTTCTATCTGCACGTAGGTGAAGTCACTTAAGGAGGGCCGCAGAGTAAAAACGAAACTGAGACATTTGGCTTAGTGCTGCAAGACCTCCACAACCGCAGCAGGTGTAGTCAGGAAGGCGTTCAGCTCCACCCGCCGGCCCTGAACGCAGCGAGGGTTTGAACCGGCATCAGAGCCAAAAGAAAGGAAGCACGCCTTCGTTTTCACACTCTCAGGCCCGTCTGCCACGGCCTCATTGGTGCTCACATCGCTGGCTTTTGCCCTTATTTGGATATCTCAAGGCTAAGGCTATAGGGAAGGTATTAGATCAGAAAATGAGGTGTGACTCGAGGTTTATCGGCTGGCATCTGTTGGCATCTGTTAAAATAAGAGAAAAGCAAGTGGAGGTTTTCAAAAAAGTGTTGGATTTTGCTCTTTGAGAAAAAAAACGTGGCGATAGGGAAGTGGACGTGTTTCACATGGGGGATGGACATTATCAACTGAAGGCCTCACACACTCACACTTGTGTGCGTTGCATCAGGCTGACCCAACTTCCTGTCTCTTGCAGACTAGAAAGCAGCTACAGAATAGAGAACAGCGTGACCTATTTAAGGGTGTCAATTTCTTTTTAGAAATGCCCGGGCTTCACATTTGAACGCAGATGACACATCGAGGCCCTCAGTTTGTGATTACTTGTTAAATGTGCACCTTCTTTAGGTGTTGTTACCCACTTTAAAAAAGCTGCTGTAAGGTCCTTATAGGACACATTTGTCAATTATTTTATATTAATATTATTTTCTTTCTAGACCTTCAATCAATCAATGTTTATTTATATAGCCCAATATCACAAATGTTACATTTGTCTCAGTGGACTTCACAGTTTGTACAGAATATCACTATGACAATACGACACCCTCTGTCCTTAGACCCTCACATCGTACAAGGAAAAACTTCCAAAGAAGGAAAAACACCAAAAAGAAACTTGGGGGAAGCTGGGTTATTCGGAACATGAGAGTACACAGGTACAGACAGACAGAAGGAAGAAGTAAGGTGTCCCTCGACAGTCTAAACCTATAGCAGCAAAACTAGGGGCTGAGTCTAATCAGCCCAAACTATAAGCTTTATCAAAAGACACACATTTTCTTATTAGCCATT